GCTCTTGCTTGCTTTGGGGACCTCAGGAACAAACTCTTTGTTTCTAGCATGTCCATCTGTCAGGTTTTCTACTCCAAAAACTTGAATATATTAAAAAGATGAAGTCAAAGACTCTGGTGAAGCAATTAGATCCTGAAAATCAGGAAGTAAGCAGTAAGTGCTTCCTTTGCTGCTGCTTTCTCACTTTCCAAAGGAACCTTCAGTGGCACAGGACTGAAAGTCTTCCCATATAAATCCTTTTATGCTGCAGTGGGAAGATCATATCTGATCTGAATCAGGAAAAATAAATCAGCATTCACCTCCCATTAGCTTCCCATTGAAAAAAACCCATAAACTCAGAATAAGCAATTCCTGGGAAACAGCCACGTTTAGCAAAAAAGAGCTCTCCCAGCTTCAAGCCTTTGGTTGGTGTAATTGCCCCAGATGTGGGGTTTGAGCTGATGTCAGGGTGACCAGCAGTCAGCAGTTTGCCCTGGCAGCCAAAAGAGCTGTGTCCTGGGTGCATCAGGCCCAGCATTGCCAGCCAGCCAAGGGAGGGGACTGTCCCACTGTGCTGGGATGGCCCCACCTCCAGCACTGTGGGCACGGCTGGACCCTCAACAGAAGGAGGACATCAGACTAATGAGTCCAGAGGAGGGCGACCAAGGTGGTGAAAGGTCTCAAGGGCAAGACTTACGAGGAGCAGCTGGGGTCACTTGGCTTGTTCAGCTTGGAGAAGAGAAGGCTGAGGGGGGACCTCATCGCAGTCTACAAGTTCCTCAAGGGGGGCAGCGGAGGGAGAGGTGCTGATCTCCTCTCTCTGGTGACCAGCGATAGGACACGAGGAGATGGAATGAAGCTGTGTCAGGGGAAGTTCAGGTTGGACATTAGGAAAAAGTTCTTCACTGGAGGGTGGTCGGTCCCTGGAACACGCTCCCCAGGGCCCCAAGCCTGTCACAGTTCAAAGAGTGTCTGGACTACGCTCTTGGATAATTTTAGGTAGTAGTCTGAGGAGTAGGACTACTGGTTATAGGTCCCTTCCAACTCAAGATATTATCTGATTTTATTTAAATTTAGCTCTTAGTAATGCTTTCATTATCAAATTTATTCTGACATGGATTAGCCATTAATACTACTCGACCTAACCAGTGCAGATTGCAGCAGGGCTGTGGAAGAGATGACAGATGTGCAACAAGAGATGTTCTGAGTACAAAGTGGCATCTGTAGCTTTTGCTCACTGCAGTTCTGTGCCTCAGAGCACCCTGGTCAAGTGGGAGGTGTCTCACCCATGCAGGGGGGTTTGAACTAGATGATCATTAAGGTGCCTTCCAATCCAAACTATTCTATGATTCACACTCTCTAGGGGCCTTTAAGGTATGGAGAACTACAGAACAATTCTGCTGTGTGTTATCAAACTGATGTATGTGATACCTACATTATGGCACATAGCGGATTACACTTGCAGCTCACAGAGCAACGGTTTTTAATTGTCAGCAAATAGACCCAGATAAAGCAAGTGTAGAAGTTCTTTCAAAACGTTTTCTCCTGTCTCTCCAATTGGTCAACATTGACTCCATCCTGAGCAGCATGTTTATACCAGAAATTTGAGCAGACTATGAGATGCTGCCCAAGGGGAGCAGTTGCACCCACCAGTACAGCGTCGCTGCTGAGCCACCATGATCACAAGAGACCATTTGCTGTATGATTCTCCTCCCAGGATGGTGCATCCCAAGGATGCTGACACTGAGCAGAACACTGTGCAGGGGAAAGGTTTTGCACTTCAGCCATTTCTAGGAGAAACACTGCTCTTCATCCAGGAGATAGGACTGGATGCAAATGTACATTATGATTATGGCAAATAGATGAGATCTGATCTATTTAGGTTCAGATTGTTAGGAAGAGTTCTTCACCATGAGTGGTGAGGCACTGGAACAGGTTGTCCAGAGAAGCTGTGGAAGCCCCATCCCTGGAAGTGTTCAAGGCCACGTTGGATGGGGCTTGGAGCAACCTGATCTAGCGGGAGAGGTGTCCCTGCCCATGGCAAGGGCATTGAAAACCACCTGCTTTGAGCTGGGAAAAAGCACACAAATGATGGAACATCCAGAAACTCTGAGCAAGAATTTTAATGCCAGATTTCCCCATTTGTGCATGACAGTCAGTGTCACTGCTGCTCAAAAGAAACGGTGCAGGGAAGATTTCTAATAACTTCCAAGGCCATGAAGAGCATTGACTCACCATGTCCACAAAGCAGTCTGCTAGGGTTCAAGTGAGATGGACTAAAGGGGAGAGGTGTTTTCACCATCTAACTTTAAAGCTGGTATTTTACATCACATGAATCACTGATTTAAGTAGAGAACACCAAAATTCAGGGAAGGACACTTCTTTTAATAGAAGAGTAAAAACAGATCCCAAATACAGCCCCAAATCCCAAGTTTCACTCTTTGAATGGTACTGATTTCTCATTCACAATTTGCTATAAGTCACTCCTGCACTCCATATTTGATAAGCCACATTTCTTTTTGTCTTTTTAAGATCAAATTCATATTGGTTTACCAAATGCAGAAAAAAACAGTCAGCATGTCTAATACTGAAGCACATCCCTGAAAACATGGCTCCACTGTTAGGTTAAAGACAATACAACCAAGACCAGATGGTTTTGCCATCAACTTCTGCTACTACTGCAGCCAATGCAAAGCACATCCTAGAGCTGCAAAAACCCAGCAAGGATTCAAGTCTTGTATGGTCTTTTACTCTTCTATAAAGTGTAAGATCTTTATCCAAACCATACTTCCGCAGTACCTGCAAGGGATCTCAGGAATAATCACACTCGTGTATCACAAATACACAACAGAGTCTTCCACTCCTACAAAAACTTGGTACTGACTGAGCTAGAGGGACTACAGTGCTTGGGTTTTGTTGGTGGCTTCTTTAAGGTGTTATCTCAAGCTTTGCAGTTCACTGGCTCAGCATCTGGCACTACTGAAAGCCTACTAGTTTTGCAGAGGAAAAAAAATCCAGAAGGAAACAAGTGTTCCTTGGAAACAAGGAATTTCCAAAGAATTCCTGCCTCATTTGCACAGTAAAGGGCTGTTAGTCTTATGCATAGCAGCCCAAGGGAGCTCCAAGAGAAATCCAACATAGAGAAGTCATTGCCTGCACTGATCAGAACTACAGCATATCAACTTTCTAGTCATTATGGTAAAATACACCTTAACTAAGAGCTTCCTTTTTTTTTTTTTTTTTTTTTAAATGCTTATCACAACTTAACTATACACAACAGTCACCTCATTCTAGCTTCAGAGAATACAACATTAGCTGAAGTGTGGATTTAGTCACACCACAATTATCTGTAATTCTGGTCATATAGCCATGGGAAAGCTTAGCTTAGCAATTCAAATGCAGCTGCTTTTCCATGCTTGGGATGGGAACAAGCATGGAAAAGTGTACAATATCAAAGCAATAGCAACCTGATCTTACAGCAACACCAGCCATGCAATCACTTCTGTTCGGGTTCCATCAGGAATATGAGCTTAGCAGGCAAAATCACCTTTACTTATGCCAGGATGTCTCCTTGTACTGGCACAACTACTCATATGCAGCAATAGCTCAAGTTTCTGGATATGATTAAGGAAATGGTAAGAAACAGTATATTCAAAATTACTATTTAGATCATAAAGAACTCCAGGAGAAAATGTGGCAACAAGTCACATATGAACACACACTTAACGTGTTCCAACTCAACACAAGGGAGAACTTTCCTGTGAGGGTTACAGAGCCCTGGGACAGGCTGTCCAGAGAGGTTATGGAGTCTCCTTCTCTGGAGACTTTTAAGACCTGTCTGAATGCATTTCTGAGTGATTTGCCCTCGCTTTGGTGCTGCTCTGGTAGGGGGGTTGGACTTCATCTTCAGAGGTCCCTTCCAACCCCAACCATTCTGTGATTCTGCCTGCTCCAGTTCACAGAGCAGACATGTATGATTCTGACCAGAGGTGCTTCATACCCAGTCCCACCTGAAGGATAATGTCCTGGGACCAACTGTGCTTGGTTGGCTAGCTGGACTCAAACACAAAACCAAGTGTAAGTCAAGCGCTCCCAAGTCACCTAGTAAAACAAAATTACTCCAGCAGAAGAGGCAAGAAGGATAAATTGAGATTTCCCCAGCATGAGGCAGAAAGAATCCCATTACACTGCAATATATGCGAGTTTTGAGTCACCAATTTAATTTTATACAAGTCAAACTACATGTTGTATAAAGAATACAAGGCAGTTCTAATGTTTGCTATTGCATGTTACAAAAATCAAATTAGCTATAAGGGGAATTTTTGGGATGAGACCTATTCAACAATTTAAGTGAATTGGCAACTGTGGTTTAGCAAAGCCTTTGATTAGACTGGAACTCTAGCTCAGAGATTACATTTCCAATAAAGCTGAAACTTAAGACACAATAGGATTATCGTTCTCACCTGAAGCAAAACGGTAATATGAGTCAAAAGGGAGGGAAGACAGTTTTATTTACCTAGTTTTCATATCCAATAGGTATTTAGAGGCTGACAAACCATACAACATACTAGTGACTTGGATCAAATCCAAGAGACATGTCAGTGTCTGACAGTAACTGACACTTGATACTCAAGCAAAAAATTATCAAAAAACTTTCATTCTTTCAAGTCTGAAATGTAGAATCTTTCAGCAATACTGCAAGATACAGGTTCCAGAGTACCTTTATTACCTCTAATACAGTCACAGTATGGGAGGGAATGTTCTTTTGGCAAGTTAAGATACGACACAAATGCTCCAATTTGAGTTTATTGTTGGTCTAAAATCTTCCTAGAATTGTTACCAGTTGATAAAGTTTGCAGCCTGCTTCCATAAATTAAGATTAACCAGATAATTGTATGACCTACCCAGCAAGGCAATCCTGCATTCAGTAGCAAGCTGTAACCTATTAAGCTAACGATACCCATAGTTTTAAAACCATGAAAAAAAAAAGGACAAAATTATAGTTTAAAAAAAGCCCAGATTTAAGCCTGTTTATATTCAGTTTATTGTTAATATAAAAAACACTTTGCATTCAGGAGTAGTTAAGTTGCTCCTGCAGAAATGCTACAAAATCAAACTTTGAACGAATTTCTACAAAAGGGGGACCCTTCCTGCTATGTACCACCACCCTATCTTGTGTTTTCAAATTTGGGATACAAATTAAAACCTTTATGCCTCATTGCTTCTTACTTTTAGGCCATTCACTCCTGCAAGAGAAAAGAACCAACTTCTGAAGTACTAACATAACACTAATGGCCTGACAAGTAGGAAAATGTTCCATAATAGTGTGCAATGCAAGAGGAGAGTTATAGTCTTAATCTCTTGAACTAGATCTTGATCGTGAGCGAGATTTTGAACGAGATCTGGAGTGGGACCTCGATGCAGCTCTTTTGGGTGGTGACTCTGAACGAGCCTTGGCAGACGGCTGCTGCTGTGGAGAGTTGGAGCGAGACCTGCTCCTTGACCTGGACTTAGACTTAGTATCTCCTTTACCATTTTCTTTGGGAGATCGAGACCTGGACCTGGATCGGGACCGAGACTTCTCAGATTTCTCCTTGGATCTGCTGTGAGAGCGTGAACCTCTGTCAGACTTGGGTTTCGATTTGCTCTTTGATCTAGACTTCCTGCTTTTAGATCTGGAACGTGAGCGGTCCTTGCTTCGTGACCTGGATTTAGATCTTTCAAAAAGAGACAGTTTATTCTGCATGAACTGAAGCGTACTTAACAGTAGTTGTAAATATCTAACTCCTGTACTAAAGAAAACAATATATCACTTACCTGGAACGGCTTTTGGAGACACTACGGGACCTGCTGCGGCTGCTCCTACTTCTACGACTTCTGCTTCTGGACCGTCTTCTAGATCGTGACCTGTAATAAGTTAAAATGTAATTTGTGCCTTATTCTTTGCTTGATGTGCTCTCCTGTGCTAACAGAGAAAAGCTGCTAAAGAACTTCTCAAAAACAAGCATGGCCACATCAAGGTGTCCCATTAATCCACCTAGATTCAATATATTGTCAAGAAATTAATCTGATGTTTCACATCTGAAAACTGGCCCTTCTGTATTATGTGAATTCCTTCTATTCTCAGACATCATCCTATTCAGAAAATATGAAAGAATATAAAAATATCAAGATATGGCAACCTATGAATGGGTATGAGCTGGTAGGGCTACCTATACACCTCTTAAGTAGTCTGCAGAGGCTGATGTGTCCCAAAGTTACCTTGACCTGCTGCCTGAGTACGATCGCCTATGGCTCGACCGTGGTTTGTCTTCAACCAGCCTGATCTTCCTTCCATTGATCTCTGTGCCATCCAGCTTGTCCAGGGCACGCTTCATGTCCGAGTAAGATCGGAACTCAATCACTCCTTCGTTTGTACGTTCTTTGTGAGCATCTGCATAGGTTACTTCGCCAGCTTGCCTCATGAAATCCTGCAAGGAGCAGATGAAGAATCCCATAGCCATTCCACAGGATTTATGCTCTGCAAGTACATCAGCTGAAGACAAGTCTGAGCAAATGCAAGAAGCATTAACTGTGGGTATACATGCATGCACAAATGCTTCTCAATTACTTCTACCTCAATAAAAAATGAACATTGATATTAAAGGAAGTCACTACTTCCTGCTAGTCACAACAGGCTCTATGATAGAACATTAATACATACTTTCAAATCCTGCCAACTACAGCGACTGGAAAGGTTCTCAACAATCAGTCTGTACTCTGTACGAACAGGTGGTCCATATTTATCTCTTCCAGATTGTCTCCGACTGCTATATCCGCCACCACCCCCACCTTTATTGTACAAAGAAAAAAGTTAGACTGCCTCCTAGCATAAATAAAACTCAATGTTCTGAAAAAGTTAGTTAAACAGTTACATTTACTGGAGTAGGACTTTATTTCTCTAAGCCGCCAATAAAATTTTCAATTTTGCCATAATCTATATAAATGGCAAATCAGACAGACTAAAATCCTACAAGTCTGTGCTCCTAAGATCTGTTAGAGAGTGACTGCTCCTTATTAGATTCACCTTGCTAAGTTTTATTTTACAGAACATTGTAAAATATAAAACTTAACTGATTACATGCATTTCTACATTTTACAAAAACGTTTACTAGTTACACTAAGTACTTACATCACAGTATGAGGTTTTTGGTGGTGGTTTGGCCACAAAACACGCAAGGTAACAGTCACCTAGTTCAGTTTAACCAGTTTTGTCTAACCCTTGGAATCCTCACCATCACCCTGCGTCTAATGGCAAAAGGCTGCTGTCGTCATGGCTTCCGGTAAGGTCAGCCAAAGGGTCATAGGGCAAGGGTCACACAATGTATGGAAAAGCCATGGCCAATCAGGAAAGGCAGTCATCTTAGCCTCAGTGGACACAGCCTCAGCCCCACTGGTCACTTTTAAATTGAAACATCAAGGACTTGTTAAAAAGTTTGAATTGAACATGCAACAATTTTAAACAACATACATTTGTTTCTTTTAAAAAAGACCCACCCCCCCCAAACACCAAGCTTCTAGAGATTACTGGAAGTAATCCTTAGTACTTTCAATTACAGTACTAGGCCAATTAAGTTCTATATAGCTCAGCTTAAGAAGCTAATGTAAATTTGCTGAACATAGAAATATTTACAATATCCCCCACTTAGTAAAACAGACTCCTGCTGGAAAACCTCCCCCCACCCTTTTTATAATATATTCAACTGAAACATTCACATGGAAGTTCACAGCCGAGTGCTTCTACCCCAATTATGCAACGGTATTTACTAATTAACATCAATGATGCAACATTGCTACTTCATCCAAATGTTCCCAAGAACATCGGAGCCCTTAAATTAGCAGAGCATACCGTTCATAACTAAAGAGAAACCCTTTCTGGGCCACAATCCTGCGGCCAGAATTGCTTCACAAATTTGCCCTCCTAAGTTTCTGAGGGGATATCTGAGTGCAACGCTGGTGGCAGGAAATATGCCTGCAGCCCTCAGTGAGCCAAGCAGTTGCTCCCCACGATGCACCAGGTATCCCCCAGCACCGCGCTGGCAGAGGCAGCGAACCCCCTCCCCCAGCGGACTCGGTCCCCTCCACTCCACCTCCTCTGCTCTGCCCTACCAACACAGCCGAGCTGCCTCCCCTCGCCTACCGCCCTCCGCCCGAAGCTGCCCAGAAACCGCGCGGAGAGACGGCCTCGTACTCACTGCGACTGCTGTAGCTGTACCCGTCCCTGTCGCGGCGGGGGCCGCGGGCGTGCTCCACGATCACCCGCTCCCCGCATAAATCTTTGCCGTTCAGCTCGTAAACGGCATCATCGGCGTCGCGGGAGTCCTCGAACTCCACGAAACCGTAACTAGGGGAAGAAGCAATGCTCTGTCAGTCCCCGCCCGGCCCCCGCCCGCGGCTC